AGTAAGTAGGTAAAAAAAAGAGGAGAATTGTGATTATATGAATGAAACTAAAGTGTCATTTAGTCATTTATTTTCATAAGTTGATTTTGGAAAAACTGTAACGGTAAGTATCAAATAAAAAATTTTAAAATTAAATATATTTACTTAAAGCAATGACTCCATTAGTTGTTTTTTAATTTTTACCAACATTCGGTTTTTCATCTCTATGATTAGTATGATATTTTTACTGGGTTAGTGTAACTAACATTTTCATTAACCATTTCAGATAAAAAAGATCAAGATCCAAATCCCAATCAGCAAGAAGGTTGTGAGTAGTTCACCTCTCGGACTTTTTTCAAGTGTTAGTGAATGTTATCCTAAAATGATTATTTATTTGTTTTTTTTTTAATTACCGTTTGTCTTTTAGAAGAGATATTCTCATAATACTATTGAGAAATTCAAATTATTTTGTAATGAATATAAATATTAATTCTATTATTCACTTCCGCATTTAAGTTATAAATTAATTTCTATTTAAATTTCGAATTTCTACAAAATATTTCAATAAAATATGAAATTTAAAATAAAAAGTTATAGATTTGAATCAAAATATATGTTTTTTTTTTTCTGTAAAAGTTTACAGATTCGAATCGAAATATAAATTTTCGTGTCTTCTTGTTAAAGTCTTGTGTTATAATTGATTTGTATACATTACATAATTAATAAGATATATTCATATATATATATATATATATATATATTCCAAGTATGCATCATTTCAACACATCTCCCTTGTCTTGTGCAACAATTAACCAACTAACACCAACACACCAAACACTTGCTCATCTTTCAGCCTCTATATAATAGTATATCTACTTCCCCTTAAAGAAACAAAAAGCTATTTAACAATTATGGTAAAGCAGACCAATGGGTCCAATCCACTCCCTCCATTGCTATTCAAATTTCAAACTCGCTCCCATATATATATATATATATATACATACAGATATCACCTTCATCTTCAGACTGTGGGAACAATGAGCACAGCCAGGTTCATCAAATGTGTTACAGTTGGAGATGGAGCTGTGGGAAAGACATGCATGCTCATCTCATACACCAGCAATACATTCCCAACTGTAATATTTAATCTTCATTTGTATATGCTGATTTACTTTCTTCCGTAATCAATCTTTTATAATGCTATTATATATAACTTTCACACACACATATATATATGTATGGATGTAGGATTATGTTCCCACTGTGTTTGACAACTTCAGTGCCAATGTGGTGGTAGATGGCAGCACAGTTAATCTTGGATTGTGGGATACTGCTGGTGAGTTTGTGCATGTATATATGTTTGATGATGTAGTTTAATTTTGAGAACTATATAAATTGTGTATCTTTTTTTATTTTGTACTCTATTTTGTTGTGATTTCGCACATTTGTGAATTAATTTTTTCAATATATATATATATATATATGATTACAGATAGGTTATATATTGATTTATAAAAACTGGTGGGTATATATATAAATCAGGACAGGAGGATTATAACAGGCTGAGGCCATTGAGTTACAGAGGAGCAGATGTGTTCTTGCTGGCCTTCTCTCTAATCAGCAAAGCTAGCTATGAAAACATCTCCAGAAGGTAAATAAATAAATAAATATATATATATATATATATGTATAAGAATATTGGTGGGTCTTTCTTTATATACATACACATATTTATGTATATGTATATGTATATGATGGGATCTAACACGATCAATCTGCATGTTGCATCCAGTGGATCCCTGAGCTGAGGCACTATGCTCCAACCGTCCCTATTGTGCTTGTGGGAACCAAACTTGGTAAAAGAGATTGCTTACAGTGATTATACTCTCATCAATTAAATCCCCCTCAAAGCTGCATCTTTAATTCTATATATATATATATATGTCTATGTGTGTGTGTGTGTATATATATATATATATCACCTGCAGATTTGCGAGACAACAAACAGTATTTCATAGATCATCCTGGTGCCACCCCTATCACAACTGCTCAGGCGAGTCGGATTTTCTTAAGAAACTTAAATTCTTAAGAGAATAACCTTAAGATTAACGACAAGCTCTTTGACAACAATTCAATTATAAACTGAACAGGGAGAGGAGCTGAAGAAGATGATTGGCGCTGCTGTTTACGTAGAGTGCAGCTCCAAGACTCAGCAGGTTGTAATTAATTAATTTGGTTTAAATTATTTTTCTTTCCATCATTTTCTTTCCAACCAAACAGGCAATGATCAGTAGTAAAAGCCATTAATATGTTTCTGTGCTTGTACAGAATGTGAAAGCTGTATTTGATGCAGCAATCAAGGTAGTCTTGCAGCCTCCAAAACCCAGGAGAAGGCGGAAGAAGACTACACCATGCAACTTTCTCTAAATCTATATATATATACACACACACACACACATATATATCACCTTCTTTTGTATGTAGCTATAACATATATTGCAATAATCGTTTTTTTTTTTGCTTAGCATTTGTCTTTTATCATATTTTTTTGCTTAATTACTTTGACATTTAACTTTTTCCCAAGTTATGAATGTAATATTTCTGAATTATGTGTGTGTATATATATATATACATCATTCATTTGATATTATATATATGTATATATACTTGGGAGTAAACTCAAATTATGAATTATGTGTTTTTTTATTAAAA